GATAGATAGGTAGATGGATAGATAGATAGGTAGGTAGGTAGATAGATCGGTAGATGGATAGATAGATAGGTAGGTAGGTAGGTAGATAGATAGGTAGATGGATAGATAGATAGTTAGGTATATGTCCTAGTGATAATATCACTGATGTACGTGTAATTAAACGTAAAAAGGTCAATATTTTTCCCACACACACGGCAAAACACGATCGTTTACGACCGCATACGGAAAAAATACGGTCGTTTACGACCGTATATGCTCCGTATACGACCTCCGTATTTTGCCGTATACGGTCACGGAAATATACGATCGTAATACTGGGCCATGTAATACGGTGAAATACGGTCGTATACGGAGCGTATATGGTATGTATACGGTCGTATACGACGTCGTAAACGGTCGTTTACGGAGTCCGTAACGCTCGACCTGGGTAGTTGTGATTTATCTGATGAAAATCTATCTGTTCAACAAAATGAAACTATAGAAACAATATCATCTGGTCTTGCCATTAAAACTATGGATTATATGGTATCCAAGTAAGGGTGAAAAGAATTTTTTTTCTCGATTGAGTTCGAAATTTCAAATATGTAATCATTTATTATGTACATTATCCTAGTATGATGAAAATAAAAAAGGATAAAAATTTCAAAATAGAAATCCTGTCTTGATTTGATTCATACAATGTTGTTCAACAAAGATTGATCTTTTTTTTCTGTATATATATAAAGAACATATATTATGAGTGTCCAAATTTACGTTCTAATTCATTTTTCTTTTCAATAAGTTGTTTATCAATAACCATTAAATTTGTTTCATGTTTCTTTTTTTCTTCTTCAATTTCTTCAATTTTTTTCTTTTCTTCGTTTTGTAAGCTTCAAGTTGTTTTAATTCTAAAAAACAATAAAAAAATTGGCTTTTAACCAAAAGATAGAAATCTTAAATAATAGATGTACCTTCAATAGCTTGTTGTTCTTCTTTTTCTAATATTTTAATTTTTTCAATTTCAGTTGAAAATTCTGTTTTCGTTTTATTTTTTATACCAATAGCAAGTTTATCAATTTGAATAGCAACTTTATCTGATGGATCATTTGGATTAGTAATTTTTAACCTATAAAAACATTATAATATAAAAAAAAATAACATAGTCAATTATACTCTAAATGATCATCATTTGAATCGCCCGGCAACTCGCATTCTTCAATCATTAATGGTCCGTTATATATGTAGTTTCTATAGCAAACGAAAACACTACATATTTATTTTTCTTTTAAAAAATGATTTGAACATTATTTAATAAACAAATATTTATTTTCGTTGCTAAGATTCAAGATAATTTCTTCACAATGTGCACTTGTATCAAATGTAATAAATACGTATCCGAATGGATAATTGAGATTATCTGTTGGTACGTGAATACTTTCTACTCTACTATCAGAAAATAATTGATTTAATTGTTCAATAGATAAACCGCTAGGTATATTTGAAATTTTGATTGTCCTCTAAAACGAAAGAAAAAAACATTTATAAAAACATTGTAGCTAACAATTCTTGCTTGAGAAATATTTATATGCCGCATTAACTTTTTCGGCTTTGTTGGACCTTCAATTCCAATACGTGGCGTTGATGATGACCTATAAGTGCATTGATAAAAAATATGTAGAAAAGTAACACGCGACTGCAATGTCGTGTTCTTTTTTTTCTTCCTCCTCTCAAAGAACTTCTCTTATGACTCACATTTTTTCCCTTCCCGATCAACAAATATGCTTGTCAATTATTATTTATTAATGGGGCAAATTATTTTATTTACGACTCCTCTAAATCTAATTCTGTTGGTTGTAAAAATCTATATATATAAAGAAGAATGCTTGTCTGTTTGTCTGTTTGTCTGTTCGCGATGTATTCACGTACGGTACGAGCAAATGCAACCAAACTTTCCAGGAATCTTCCTCTCATCTAGGAGAAGGTCGACGTCTACTTTTTTTTCAAAAAAAGTTGGTCCTTCACCCGGAAAAAATCTGCCTATGTTGCTAACCAATCAGATTGCAGTATTCGGTACTGCAGAAGTACTGTTGAGTATCACTTCGTGAACACACAGAAATATGGAACGAGAGGTTTTCGAGGATGGTGAGTTCGAATCTGGGGTCTATTTGCCTCGAAACCTGATTGGTTGTTTAGAAATCAATAGGAATTCAGCTCTTAAGAAAATAGACCCAAACACTTATATTTTCAGGGAAATTATGGGGCAGGGTTTTTTTAGAGATGGTGAGTTCAAATCTGAGGTCCATTCGCCTCGAAATCTGATTAGTTGTTTAGAAACCAATAGGAATTCAGTTCTTAAGAAAATAGACCCAAACGCTTATATTTTCAAGGAAATGATAGGGCAGGGGTTTTTAGAGGCGATGAGTTCGAATCTGAGGTCCATTTGCCTTGAAATCTGATTGGTCGGCCGAAAACCAATAGAAATTCAGCTGCCAAGGAACCAGCTAATTAAAATTGCGTTTTCAGAAGAAGAGTCAGGTAGGGGCTTCCAGAGGCAATGAGTTCGAATTAGGGATCCAAGCACTGAATATGAGTATAGGGTATGGAAACGAGTATCTTCTTCTGTTAATATAAACAACAATGTTTGTCTGTCTGTTCTTTGTGCATTTGATTTCGGTAATAACCAGCGCCACCAAACTTTCCATGGCATACCCCTTAGTCTAGAGAAAAATTGAGATAAGATTGGCGCGACAGACAAGGAAAGGAAGGTAATTGGGTGTAATTCCACCCAAGTTGTGAAAATCGAAAATTCTCTAATCTCTATCTTTAATGCATCATAAAGAAAAGAATATTTATATAAAATTTTTCTGAGTCTGAATTATGACGCATTAGTTCTTTTTCCTGACTCAGAACGATGACACATTAGTGTCATGTGCATTGGCCATATATACATATACATCTGGGTATATTATTTCAGGCACTCTTTCTTTTCTTGAGCGTCGTTTCATTTTTTATATATACGTCAAGCTTTATTTTTCCTTCTCTTACATTCCTTTCTTCACTTTTCAGTATTAATAAAGATATAAGTGGGAGAAGATTGGAATGCGATGGATAGAAAAAAATATGCGTGGAAGAGCGCTATACATATATATATATATATATATATAGATATCGCATACACATAGTTTGTTTCTTCTGTTTTTTTTTGTGCATGTCTCATGCTTTGAATTCATTCTTTTCTTTTTTGGGTTTTTTCATCAGCTATGAACTATTGGAATAAAGTAGGAGTTCAAAGTTAATGATATGAATATATTTGTCTAATATGATATGATAATCAGCTGTAGTATATCCTCGAATATCACTTGATTTCTTTGTCATTTGTTATGCCTGCGCATGATGTATCATATTTCTTCTGATGTATTATGTGTCGTCATTAGAATTTTTACATCACGCTATGGGATGACGCTGCCGAAATGTTTCAGTGTTTCGTATATATATAAATGTGTTTTTCTATTATTTTTTCGATAATCTATATATAAAGAAGAATGTTTGTCTGTTTGCTGTCTGTTCGTTATGCATTTGGACACGGTACGACTGAATGAAATGAAATTTTGCACGGAATACCCATTCGTCCAGAGAAAGGTCATAGGGTAGTTTTCGATCCAAAATTTTCAACTTAGGAGGGGGGGTATTTGGACCTCTCTTTGTTGGATTCCCACAGTAAATGCCTTTTCCAGGAAGACTGTGCGTATGACTGTTTTTCTCAAAAAATCGAGAATGACAGAAAATAAAGATCTACGATTTTCGTCATCGGGTACAAGAGATTCTAGAGTATGAAAGTGTGCTTAGATTTGATTCATCTATTCGTTGGCCAATTCGATGTTAGTACCCTTTCATGGTCTATAATATTTCTTTAATCAGTTTTTCCAATTTCCACGAAAATATTCTAAAATGATTAACCTAGAAATGATTTAAAGTGCTCACCACATAGACTCATCACAGTGATTCTCAAAGAGATTTTTCATGGCGAATTAGAAGATAATAGAAGAAGATCATAGCGATGTCGTTTTCTCTTACGCCAAATACGTACTATCAAATTATCTTGACTAGCATCGGGTACTTCCGCTAGTTTTTATATAAAATAAGCAAATCCTAAGTAATTATTGAGAGCATCATTGTCTGTAATATCTTCAGATATGACTAATTGGTTAAAAAGAATCGATGTATTGCACTATAGTTCGATTAAAGACTCAACTTCTTATCAACAATCAAAATCGTACCGTAGATTGAGCAGTGTAACTGCATTATGCGTCAGATTTATTAGGCAAAGTTTCTCTTAATATTCAATAGAGCCTATTTTTATTTTCAAAATAGTTCAATGATGATCATTGTAAATTGTTTTGAGCAAGCATTCTATAATAAGCACCACGTTGTTGTATCAGTTCTGTTTGAGTACCGCTTTCCACTATATGTCCTCTATCAAGTACACAAATCAAATCACATGAAGGAATAGTTGAAAGACGATGAGCGATCATGAGTAATGTTCGACTAGGGTCTTCTCTTTGAGCTTTTTTCAAGAGTCTCTTGTACAATCTAAAATTGATCAATGAAGATGAAGTTTTAATTGATAAATAGGAAAATAAACAAACTTGTTCGTTGTGTGAATCCATGGCACTTGTAGCTTCATCAAAGAGCAATACTTTAAGCCAACGAAGGAGAACTCCAGCAATAGCAATACGTTGCTTTTCACTATCTGACAGGAAACTGTCTTTCATTTCTACTTTTGTTTCATAATCCTGAAAAAAGAAATATTATACAATAGTAACAGATGCATAACATAATTTTGTATTGTTTAACCTGAGATAATTGTTCAATAAATTGATAAATATTAGATTTCCTTAGTGCATTGATAATGTCTTCCAATGGAACATTTTCTAAACTATATGCAATATTTTCAACAACTGTTAAATCAAACGAAATTGGATATTCCAACGAGTTGGATCCAATTCTCTGTCATATCTAAATGCAATAAAAATAACAATATGCCGTA